TATCTATTTCTATTTTAATAGGTTAGGCTACTTTACTATACTCCGTATGCCTATTGCTGTGTGCTATAACTCGTGACAGCTGTAAACCATTGGAAATTCTTGATGTTGAACGTTGCTGCTTCTACTGGGCAATATGAAAGAAACCGATGAGCATGTATCACCTTACAGAGGGACTTGATAATCCTTACATCTAAACCTTGCCCGTGTACAAGTGTGTTATGAGATTTGAAGCACGGTTCACTTCGCTGCCGAGGGCACTGAGACACGTTGCGCCTCTGTTCTTACATAACACCACACTCCACGCGGCCAAATCGACAGCTCTCGACAAATCTTTAGAACATCAACCTCGTATGATTCTTATTTATTTATTCTAGAGAAAGAGAATCATGAATCAAGTTGTATGCGATGATCTGTCTGTCAGATTTCCAAAGTCATCGCCTTAAGTGCATACAGTACTCGAAACATAACTCAATGAAACTCGGGAAAGCAGAGGGATGTTGAACACCTTCGCGGGGAGATATGAGAGAGTTTTTAAGGAACTCAAAAGCATAAATGAAACAAATTTCCTCAGTTATGTGGCGTTGAGGCCATCTTAATCCGCAACGACGTGTTGAGACGTCACCCCTTGTGCCCACAAAAGCAATCTGTGATACCATTTTGTACCTTCGTAAAGTCCTTCATCATCTCATCAATAGTCACTCCCTCGACTGATTATCTCCTTGTTATTCTCACGCAGTAAAATGGTCTACTTCTGTTAGCATCCTCAACCACTTCTTGTCATAGTCTCATGTCGAGGGTTCGCAACTCACATGCTCAAATTGCGCGGACTGAGACCCCTTGATATCCGCAAGAGGTGCGTACGAATCGAGAATGCCATGAGATTCCAAAGATTTGAGCTAACAGAGGAGCAGGCTTATCAGCAATGTTTTCTCTTGCAAGGTACACGTCTGATACAATCTGACAGAGACTTACACCGGCCAAGTACCGATCCAAACCCAGACGATCGAGATACCGACGGCAAAAGACGATACTTCCAAACTGCTCTTTGATCGACTTATACAGACGATTCGCAGAGGCAAAGGGCAACTTGACCTGAGCAGGGGCATCGTAATCCAGCTTGTACCCATATATACCAACCTAATCATCACCATCAGTCTCCTTCCACGCAGTTCCAGGGCCGAGGCAATGGCAAGGAATCTCGAGAAAAACAGGAGAAACTCACATCGTCATACAATTTTCCACGCCCAGTCGTCCCAAACGTCTCAATTGCAAAGATCTCACCCTCCTCCATTTTGGTCTGATCATTGTTCTTGATAAACGGAATCGACTTGCCCGCATGGATCTGGTACCGCGCAATATCATGCGCGCAGATGTTGCGCACCGGCTTGACGGGGTACATCTTGCCGCCGACCTCGACCTCGTAGCTCTCCATCGTCTCCTGGATGGCGGCGCTGACGTCGCAGATGCGGACGTCAATTCCAGCGGTCTGCACCATCGACGAATCAGCGTTCTTATCCTCTCCAAAGAATAGGACAGTGAAGGATGTAAAGAGGAAAAGACAAACCTTGATCCCACTCTCCGTAGCATCCCTAACCCCAGCCAACAAACTATCCCACGCCGGATCAAAACTCATCGTAAACGCACTATCCACAATCCACCCATTCACATGCACCCCAAAATCAACCTTCATCACATCCTCATACTTCAGCACCACATCCTTCTGCCCCGGGTTCGGCGTGTAATGCGCTACCTCATGGTTAAGACAAAGTCCCGTAGGGAACCCCATCCCAGCCTTCAACGCATCACCCGCCACCAACCCCTGATTCCCCAGCAAACTCCTCACCCCGTCCTCGATCCCCGTAGCAATCTCGAGCAGAGTCTGCTTACCGGGCTTCACCGTATCCTGAACCCACTGCCGAACTTGCCGATGAACCTCGGCGGCCTTGCGGTAGTCGTTCAGGAGGCTCGGGTCCTCGAGGTGCGGGCGTGACTGGTACCGTAACTCCGCAGCCGTCGTGCGCGCGGTATTCATATCCAAGCCCGCACCTTTCTCCGCATCCCGGGCCTTGGTGTAAGCCTGCGCCTCACCAGCCGGGTACGAGCCCGAAGGGAAGAGGTCGCTCAGCGGCACCCTCGGAGGGTCAGATTGCTCCATAGCAGTCGCGCCGGCGGAAGCCTTCTTCTTCTTCTTCTTTCTAGGCTTTCGTTTCTTCTTCCTGGGTCCATCATCATCATTGTCATCGTCTGCTGCTGCAGCATTCTTCAGCGATCTGGAGCCAGCGACAACTTCATCTTCGTCATCATCATCGCCATCGTCATCGCCTCCGCCGCCGAGGCTGCCGTCCCCGTCACGGGTGAGGTGCACGCCGCGCGGCTCTCCGCCGGAGGAAATGCCGGACGAAGTGGGCCCGCCTGAACGACATCAATTAGCATGCTACTACTTAGTTATGAAGCCAAAAAAAGGCAGTGTTTCTTAAAACATTACCATTGCCTCCAGGAATCTGATCTTCGGGTGTCTTTGAACCCATTCCGACATGAAGCCTGTAAGTCGCGAGCGCGTTGTTGAGTTGGGGGCCTGCTTTCAGTCGTCAAAAGTGGGTGGTGGTGTAAGTTGGTGAGAAATGTGATCAGGGAAATATGAGGGGTCAAGTATAGCAGCTTTTTATGGCTGCAAAATTCGTTGGAGGGGGAATTTCCCTTGACCTCGTCAATCAAAGGGCGTCGAATGGAGTTAATCCACTCGAGCATGAACGCAAGTCGTGGCGTGAGATTTCTCCTGAGGTGAGAAGGTGAAGCCGAAGTGCATGGCAAGACTAAACGACGTGGGCACCATTTCCCGAGACAGACACGGAACGGCCTTCCCCAAACATCGTCGTCGCCAAAACTACCATTTGAAACCCCAAATCAACTACAGTACCAGTTTCGATACTCGCTTTGGATCGGGGATTGATCTTGACTTGCCCCATCCCATAACCTCTCCGAACTTGGGCCTGAGTTATTCAAGGTGATGCTGTGCATCCGAGCTTCTACCTCAAGTCATCACAAATCAATTACAGAGGCGACAGATAATGAATATGAAGAAATGGAATTCCGGCTGTCTACAGCATTACCGACTCATCATACCCAACCCCGTAGCCCAAGCCGTGTTTCCAGTTCATTCAAAAGAAACCATTCAACACTCAAACCGTAACCCGTTACCATTATATAGTACAATTACATGGACTCCGTATAAACATCACCCAGTCATTCATACGCCGTATCAACTTCGCCTAGTAGTGACGATGACGCCTGGAGCGCCCGGCGCCAATGTCGATGCGGCTCATTTCCTGCATCAAAGCCCACTCGTTATCGCCATTCGCGCCGCTCATGATAGGTAAGGGGACCTTGGCTGGGATTGGGGGCGCGCCACCATATCCGCCTCCAGGAGAGCTGCCGTACTGCGGTGCATGGTTCTCGCTGGGGTAGTCCCACGTGCTTGCCCTGGGGAGACGCGGTGGCGTAAAGTCGCTGCCATGATCTTGGTAGTTGTGCGACGAGATAGGGGCTAGAGGACTAGAGCCCGCCGGTGATGTTGTAGGCATAGCAGACATGCGCTGCGTCTTCTTTTGCAAGCGGTTACGACCTCCGCTCGGCGGTGTGCCCGGGATGTGGTAAGGATCCGAGCCGTATGTGACCGGCGATGCTTGAGACTGAGGCCGACCTGCAATACGCAGTTGCCGACGGCCAGTCGGGGGCATTGCCTGAGTAGCAGCCGGTGACACTCGTGAGCGGACAGAAGCCGTAGCTGGGGTTTTGGGTCCCTTAGGCTCGGGTTCCGGCGCCCATGTGTCCATAGGCAAGTGATCTGAAGGGTCAATCTCACGTCCATCGTGAGTGATGATCTTCTCATCGGGGTCCGGCCGTGAAACGTTGCTACTGGTAGCCGACAGCGATGGGTTGAGAGCATCGTACGAATCCGGCCCGAAGGGTATGCCGGAGAGTCTCCGATGGTCAGACGGAGGCGGCGCGGGACTAACAGATTTCCGCTTAATCGTGTGATGCGGGTTAGGTGAGGCTCCACGCGACCTCATGTGCTGTGGGGGCGGCTGAGGCGAAGCTCCTCTTCTATCCATTGTCATGTTCATGGGATTGGGCGATACACCTCTCATGGTGCCGTGCGGGTTTGGTGATGCGCCTCTTGCCATCATCGGGTTAGGGGATGCACCCCGACCTCTCATCGGATTGGGCGAAACGCCCCGTCCACGGTTTATGTCAGGCTGGGGAGCACCGTACGCCACAGAGGAGCGGTGGTTGTATCCTGGTGGAATATAGGACTGGTTCGAGTAGCTTCCGTCGTAGCCGAGCGGCTCACTGTGTTGTCTTCCACGAGTTGGGGTAGTCATGCTCTGATCAGTATAGCGCCGTTGTTGACGTCTCTCCTCGTAGATGCGCTCCGAAATCTCCTGAGAGGCGCTGTGGTCGACGCCTGGAACCAAAGAAGCTGGCACAGCGGGCATGCCGTGAGCGGTGATCTGCGTTCCTCCCAATTCAGACCTCTGCGAGGTGTACTGGTTCTGGCTCCGTGAATGCGAGTGGTAGGATGATCCGTCCATGGGACTTGGGGCGAAGTCACGAGAGGCAATAGGAGAGGCTTGTTGATGACGAACCATCTCATCGCCCCGGTACGGCTGCGGTGAAGTACTGTAGTGACCTGGAGAAACATTACCCCTGCCAGCGAGGACCAACTCGTCGCCTCTGGGCTGGTAATCTTGCTGGTAGTCTGGCTGCGGCGATGTGCTATAGTGACCAGGAGAAATGGCGCCTCTTCCTGCGAATACCAACTCGTCACCTCTCGGCTGAAACTCAGGTCGTGGAGAGGTGCTATATCGTCCGCCTTGACCCATATCGTCCCCTCGGCCATAGCTAGGCTGCGGTGAGTGGCCGCGTTGACGAGTTGAGCTGGCACTTCCCCTTCCGCTGATGTTCAACGGTGCCGGACTGGGAACCTGGTCGTATCCCTGGTCGTATCCCATTTCGTCATACTGTGGTGTATGGGAGTTTCGGCGACGAGTCATCTCGGTCGATTGATGAGGCTGCTGCTGCTGCGGTGGCGGCTGGTTTTGCTCTTGGCGGTAACTTGGCTCATCGTACTGGGGTGCGCGAGAAATCCTTCTCTGAGCATTGCTCGCAGCTGTGTTGGGCGATTCCGGCACATCTTCAACTGTCGGCTGCATAGACCTGTACTCTGCGTGGGCATCGTACGAGTGATGTCTCGGCGGCCCTGAGTCTTGCCGATGCTCTTCAGGAGCTGGCAGCGCGTTTGTGACCGCAGGTGCTGAATCAAAGCCACGGTATGTGGGGCGTCCAGGGTAGGCTGCCGTAGAAACAGACGCCCGATGAGCTTCGTTTCTGAGGACATCTTGCCTCATAGCATTGGCTGGCTTGGGAGGAGTATCATAGGCACCCCGCACGACCATGTCTTGTGAGTTCCCGCTGTTGTGGCGACTTCTGTGAGCGGGTGGAGGTGGTGGTCGATCGTCCTCGGCAGGCGAAGCATGGCGCTGGTCTTCCAAATAGAGCATATCACGCGGTGGCTCGGAGCCCTGACGGTAGTGAGCTTGGTTAACAATTTCCTGGGATGAGTATCTCGGGCTGTAGTCCCTTTCGTCGTAGTGGGAGCTGGGGCTGTCGTAGCGGTCATGTCTCGGCGTGTGCTGTGGTGTAGTGTCCACAGGCGGCAAGGCAGCTTGGGGCGAGTGTGCGTGCAAGTCCTGTTGGCTAGACCAAGCATCTGGAGCGGGGCTTGTGTTGTACTCGATAGCTTGCAACGGCGATTGCGTAGGTATCTGAGCGGGCTGTTGCTGTTTAGGACCCTTGGGCATTGGTCGGGACCCCGAAAGACTAATCTCTGAACCTGTTGGCGTAGGGATGTTCATTTCTTTGGGCCCTCTGGGACCTCCGGCTCGAGGCGGGGTTGGCGCCAGATCCGGGGCTGGGCCGGCGGGTGCTTCGCCCGTGAAGGGATCAGATGGCAGCGGTCGTCGCTTGATCTGCTTTCGGGGAATAGTACCGCCATAGTTCTCGGCCGGCTCTGCCTCGACTGGCTTAGGCTTCGCAACTGGCTTCTCGGGTTTCGGTCGCTGGTCATAGTATGTGATCTCCATGCGGACTTCGCCAGCGTACTTGCCCTTGAACGCCAGGTTGCGCCAGATGTCGTTCTGGCCTCCACCCGGTACGATGATGTCCTTGAGGTCGATCCACGTCTCTCCGATGAGATCCGTTTTCTTGTCGTCGTGAAATACGGATACCTTCAGCTGGTAGTAATCTGGTGAGTCGTGTACGGCGAAACGAAGCTCTTGGTCCCTGAGAAGTCAGTGTCAGCAAGTTGTCAATTGTAGAGAAAACGACGTAGTGGAGAAGAAGAAGCAAAAATGGTTACCATCTGGGGGTTTGACCTCCTCGAATATCTGTCGTGGTTCTCTTTGCTTCCTTGCCGAGGCGGGCGGCACAGTAGGGATCTTGCTTTCCGATGGTCTTGCGGTTGGGCAAGTTCTTTGCGCGGTCGACAATAGCGACTAAAGTTCCAATCAAGGGACCGTCAACGGTGGGGTCGGCGAAGATTCCGGCCGTGTGCATCCCATTGAGGGGGTGGACTTTGGATTTGGGTGCCGCCATAGCTGCGGTGTTTCGGCGGTTGCTGTTTGCTGCGCTATTGTAATAAGTGGTTTGTTTACAAGTTCAAATCCGCTGTGACGATGTGAAGTCGAGGAAAAGGCAATAAACCAGGGCTGCCGATGAGCCACAGAAGCGAGAAAGAATAGCTCTTCTGATAGAAGCTATTTACATGTGGGTTGAGGGGCCTTTGGAGACGGGTATCAAAACAATCGATGTCGAGGAAAGCAGATGTGACGGTAGAGCGCACTGTTAGCAAGACGATAAACAAAAGATGAAGATCTTGACGACGAATAACGTGAAGGAAAGGAAAGCGAGGACGTAGTCAAACGTGAATCAACGCTTCAGTCGAGGAATGAATGACATCGGCAGCGGATGAGGTGGAGGAGGAGAAAAGAGGTGGAAGCATGAGAGAGTGTGTGAGATGAAAAGACACCGAGAGTGTGGTGGTGGTGGTGGTGGTGGGAGCGACACGGCCGGAGCTGAGCAGGTGCGGTGCGACGTTGGCGGGTGATGAATGATGTCGCTCCAGGATTGTTTTTGGCGGCGGGCGACATGGAACTTGCAAAAAGACCATGCCAATTGGAGGGCAGGTGGGGCGGAGTTGTCAATCCAAGGTTCCTTGCCCTACAATGTCTTGAGTGAAGGTACCTGGTTGGAACCTACACTTCCTGGGCTTAGCTCAGGACTTTGGGTAGACACCTCTTACAGCCCTGGACCTGTCGAGTTTCCAGGTATGAGCTGCTAACCTTCCCGTTTCCTGACTGCTAGGATGTTAACCGTCCAACCTCAGCCATCCAGAGTTTTACTATATGCGCCCTACGTTTGGCCAGTTCGGCTGGACTTAAATTGATGTAAGGTATCCATCCGTCAAGATGCTAACATTACAGGTTCCGTATCAGTAGTCATTGAAGCGTCTGCCAGGCGTATCAGGCTGGGTAACTTGACTGCGCCAAGGCACTCCCATCGGCCAAAATCCAGAGGTGGACCGCACTGTGCGTGCAGGGGCCGTCCCAGGGCCGCGCGTGTGGTGGCTGGGCGAATGAGGGGCGACATAGTCCCCACCTGCACTCCACCACAAACCTGAATTGGG